AGAGAGAGAGAGAGAGAGAGAGAGAGAGAGAGAGAGAGAGAGAGAGAGAGAGAGAGAGAGAGAGAGAGAGAGAGAGAGAAGCGAGAGATGTAGGTTTGCTTCGCATTTTTTTCCGTTTGTGTTGGTCCGGGTGAGGTACTTGTCAGACTGAAGTTTAAAATCAAGGAGTTACTTTCGGATTTTCGCAGTGCGAGATTTCTGGACGACGTTTCACTTGTTCTCCAACTCCCTCTTTTTTCGGATTGCCATTGAGCTTCATATTTCAAGCTCTCATAAGAACAAGTTCTTGAATCATCGCGTTTGCTCTCCTTGGAACGCGCAGGTGTGTAGTTAGTTGCTAAGTTGAGACGTACCATCTTGTGTCTAGCGTTCTTGGTGCTGATGTAATGATATATTTTGATGGTTGGACGACCCTACCTTGCCTTCCGGACGATTGGGACGCGAAGTTTCCCACGCCGTGCGATGGATGATAATTCTTTTCCCTGTCCTTATCCAACGTGGAAGGATTATTGGTCTCCAGGGGCAGGAAATGTCTAGCTCTTGATGTACAGGACGATGAGCCGCAAAGAAGCGTGTGGACTGCCGGCTACTCCTCGACTCTCAGGACTCATTTTCTGCTCTCATTGCCGTCATGCTTCAGCATAGCCTACGCTCGTAAACGATTTTGTTGTGAAGCTAAAACAATTCCATTGGTTTGTTTGGTATGAAGCGAAAAATATTGTATTGGTTAGTGAATTCACAGTGTAATTATCTTTTTATAATTTCGTGCGTCTCTGCGTGTGATCAGGCCATGCAATGATGAAGAGCTTCGAACGAATGCCCCGCAAGTGGTACAATGTAGTGACCCTCGAAGGGAGGTTACTGTGTATCAGAACATCGCCGGGAAGCAAATTGATCGGACCTTCACTTTCGACAAGGTAAATTAGTCATGTTGCCCTCTTATCGAGTTGTATTGGAGTATATATATCACGATTATCTAAAGGGGGGTTCTACGGAGGCATGGCGCGGAGAAGGGAGTCTGGGGGAGTGATGGTGCTCACAAACGGGGCTGGTCGGAGGGAGCCAGAATAGAAATAGGGGCCTGGCGTCTTTCTTAGCATTTAAAAAGAGGTTGGATTTCGTAATCTTAGTTGGCAGGATGGACTGTCTCATAAGTCGGAGGGGGGCGTCTGTATGGCTGCCAAATGCAGACAACGGCGCTGATCGCCTCTTTCTGAACTTTTCCCTGAAACTGTAGATGGATCTAGATGGAGAGGGTAGAGGGATAGAGGGTATAGAGGGAGATGGGTGAACGAGAAGAAGAAGACGGCACAAAGTGTTGTGACAGAAAGGTGGAAGAGAGAGACGGGTATGGGTGGAGAGTGAGGAGAGGGGTTATGAGAAGATGTTTTAAGTTTAACAAGAGAAAGGAGTAGATAGGAAGGCAAGAATGGTAAACAATAGTAGGGGCAACCGATCAGAGAGACATTGGGTGAGAGATGGACGGATGGGTGAGTGACGGAATGGGGCTGAGTCTGGTGTGCTGAGAGGGAGGGGGATGTGAAGGCGGCAGAGAGGGGCGAAGGCAATGGAAGACGGAGAGATGGAAGCCAGGCGGAGTGAAGATGGTATCAAGGGGAGGACTGAGAGGGTTGTTAATGCGAGCAGAGGAGGGGTTCTGAGAAGCGTTCAGAGAGCGACTGGAGACAGACAGGAGAGACAGGAGGGAGAGGTCGGAGAAAGGGTGGATTCAGAGGAAAGACAGGAAACGAAGAGATCGTTGGTAAGAAAACTGGGGGGAAGATGTGACGGTGGGCTAAACGGGGAAGGGAAGAGATATGGTAAGTGGGGAATGTAGAAAGAGACGGGAATATGAGGTCGGGAAGGTGGGAAGTCAATGGGAGGGCTGGAGACTGGAGGGAGGGGAAACGTTAACGGTTCCAGTGCGACGGAAGTGGGTATTGTGGGAGCGATGATATGCGGCATGGATCAGGGAAAGTTGACGAATACAGGAGAGAGGGGAAGGCGGAGAGAGGAATTTAAGAGGAGGTGGGCACGGGGGCAACAGAACCGTGGGAAAGACGGGGCGGAGAGGGAAGCGGAGTGGAGATAATGGTGAGTTGTAGCGTGGGAGGAGGTCAGGGTGAAGGAGACAGGAGGGGTGTTGATGGGAAATAAGAGAATGCGAATAGAGATAACAGATAATGAAGGGAGGACAAAGTATTGGTTATAGCATGCATTAGAAGTCTGGTAGTCATTTGGACAATAAGCAGCACAGGTTATGAAGAGACGAAGTGGAAAATTATGTTGAACTTGCTGATTGGTTGGGCCAGAGGTGATTTAGTCTTGCAACTGTTTTTTTTTATTTCAGGTTTTTGGGCCGAACTCTAAGCAACAAGACGTATATGATCAAGCTGTTGTGCCGATCGTGAATGAAGTTCTGGAGGGATTCAACTGCACGATCTTTGCATATGGGCAAACGGGAACCGGGAAAACGTACACCATGGAGGGAGGCGGTCGCAGACCTAAGGTAAGTGCAATTTTTGTCCTTAATTCGGCGCTTTTCAAACACGAGGGACACAACTTCAGATCGGTATGCTATATATATATATATATAAATCATAAATGGATTGGAGGTTTTTTAACCAACTGGAAGCACATTTTTTCATGTAGAAGCGCATTTTCAACACTTTGAAAACTTATCACTCAAAGCTTTAGATACCCAGAGCTGGATAATGGGGCCCCACTCTCCCGGGATGATTGAGAGGTTCCCCGTCTTCAGGGTGCTGTTGTGAAGGAATGATCTTCTTGTCTTGTTGTGTTTAAAGGAGAAACAACGTGACCTCTAGCCGGATTTGGTGGGGCGGCACCTGGCCGCCCCACATGCTGTGTTGAGCCTTCGTTTATATCATGGCTCCCTCCTGCTTGTATCCATTTGAGAAACGACAGGAATGGAGAGGTTGAAGGTGTGTTGAGATCCATTTACATATCTTGGATCCAGAAGAGTGGGAAGGAGGATAGGGAACACAGTATCCATCCGCTCTTCTGACCATTCCGTTGGAGGATTGTAAGAAGATAAAGCTGAACAGGAGTGGAGAGCGTATTAGAACAAACACTGCAGAGGGACAAGAGGCGTTATGGATGATTCAAAACACAAGGGTACAAGGTCTTTCACTTGTTTTGAATAGGAGTGGAGAGCGTATAAAAGAAAACTGCAGAGGGACACGAGGCGTTATGGATGATTCAAACACAAGGGTATAAGATCTATCGCTTGTTTTGAATTACACCGTGGTCGCGGTGCAACAAGTCTTTCTGTATCTCAACTGAGAAGATATACGGACGTACAGATTGATAAATAAGCTACACACATCACGAAAGGAAAGTCATTACCATAGCTTCCTTTTGTTTATCGATGGAAGATAGTATCCATCTGCTCTTCTTTGACCATTCCCTTGCAGGATTGTAAGAAGGTAAAGCCAAACAAGAACGGAGAGGGACGACGAAAAGATTAATGAGAAACACACTGGAGAGGGACGAGAGGCATTATGAACTATTTAAATACAACGGTATGAGATCAATCACTTGTTTTGAATCACATCGTCGGTGAAGTATAAGATCGAACGCAACGGTACAAGTCTTTGTACTAAAACTGAGAAGATATAAGGACATGTAGATTGATAAATAAGATACACACACGAAAGTACACACACGAAAGAAGTCTTTAGCATTGCTTCGTTTTCTTTACCGATGCAGTAGAATGAATGAACCATTTTCAATTGCATCCTTTTTCTTTATTGATGTACTTTGATGAATTTTCGTACTTCATCTGAGAAGATGTCAGCACGTAGGGATTGACAAGCTGAGTACATAACATAGTACACGCACGTTAAATGAGCATTGCGTTCAGTAGGACCGGTGGAGTTTTTGGTTAAAAAAAAAAGAGCATTCCGTTCATGCAGCGGCTTCCATACCTGGATAAGCGCGGTTAATACTGTCTCCCCAAGTATTGATCTATGAACTCTAAATCGCCTTATGATGCAACCATTAAGGATAAGGCCGGGATACTAAACTAGTGAAAAGAGCTAATGACGGTACTATGATCAGAGATCGAACAGGTGACTAAGGCTACCCTGTGCACCCGAATAGAACTCACAGTCATTATCGCTGAATCTAGACTGAAGCCCATCTAGATTCAGAGATCGAACAGGTGACTAAGGCTACCCTGTGCACCTGTTACCACGGTAGCAGGTAACAAACAAAGCAGGTGGCGGAAGCCCATCTCCGCCCATGTCAGGTTCTATTGTGGTAGTCGCACTGGTGAACATCCCCAGAGGATCCCTCAGACTGGGAGCATTTCTGGGTCGTTGGGGGAACTGGTAGGCTGCCATTTGGTTAATAGCTGTGTTGCTGAACCTGGGAACGAGGTCCAGTGATAGGCTTAGGGCAACTGTAGGCCCCAGGGCAGTCTACCTAGGGCCAGGCTCATGGGTCTCTAAATGTGTGAGGTCAAGCCTAACGGAGGGGTTATATAGAGGATGTGAGGACCAGTGATGGTCTAGTCATGCTAGTACTGTATGTGTTGCGGTCTAGTATTAGGGACTCAACTTCGAGGCCAGGTGCTTAGTATCCGACCAGCTGGTGCCCAATGTGCAGAGCAAACGCATGCTTTAGAGGTTGAAATTCCATGTCGCACGAGAACGAGGGTTTGCAATACACCTTAGGGCGTCCGTGAACATCATCTATCCTGTTGCCAGCGGAGGTGCCCAAAGGTTTTCCGCATGATGCATGTGCCTTACTCCGCCGCACTGTGCTGCTCAGGGATGGAGTGGTTACTGCTTATCATAGCAAGGCTTCATTGGTCTGTACTTGTGTACACAGCTCCTGGGAAAAATGGCAGTTGGGCGCGTTTATATATGTAGTATTTTTGCAGAATCCTCTGGACTGGTCACTTTTTTGTTGTTGTTGTTGTTGTCGATAAATGAAAGCAGCTCTCCGCCTCTGCTGTATATGAATATTATTTGGCTCCTACATGGATCCCATAATAGTTTGACCATCCAGGATCTCCATGCGATTCCATAGTACAGTATCCTTGGATCTCGTTTGGTGGAGTTCAGCTCCTGGCAGAGCAGATTTGTGCTTTCTGCGGTCTGTACTTCACATTAAATGTCTCTCTTCTTAGAAAGATACGGTGCCATAAATACTTCAGAGCTTGAGTTGATAGTGTGGTAATGAAAACGCTGGCAGAGTAGAAGGCAAAGCGTGAGCGCTTGTGCAACATGTTGCTATCGGTTTTCATTTTTTTTTTTTTTTGGAGCTGCTATGTACGCCAATTGAAAAACTAATAAGAGATCTTTCCGCCTGTCTACTCGCCTTGGGTCGTAAGTTACCTTGAGTTATAAGTGACGAGGTCCACAGATGGTGGTTATTTATAAACTTGAGGAGAGTAGACATCCGGTGTGATAATTGATACCATCAGCACCAGTCGTGTAGCCAACAAGGTAGAAGCGGAGAAGCGGAATCAGCGATGACTATAGACACGGGGATTGAATGCTTCTCTTGCATTAGTAGCTTTCCTTTCATGGCTGGTGCTGACGGTGTCGCCGGATAATTTCTCTCCATGCCCCATGGCGATGCGTTTCAGTGTAAGCGGCTCGCTGCACTCTAACAAGGCCTCAAGCTTGTTTGAGTCTTGTTTTGGGTTCTGAGGTGGTCATGAACCATTTCATACTTGTTGCTAGAAAAAGGTTCCAGTAATTCAAATAATGCGTCAACAACCATGGTGTTGAAAATGTTGAAACGCAGTTATGAATCTGCAACACAAAAAGAAAAGAAGAAAGAAAAGAATCTGCAACACAAGCAATAAGTAGACGGATAAGTTAGAGAGTGAAGAACCTGGCAAAGGGCACACACTAACGAAAACCGAATGGAGAACAGAAAGCGCAGTTAAGAGCAAAGAGGGTACAAACAGGCAAAAACTAAGAAAGAGAGGCGAACAAAACAGGTGAGCAGAAAAAGCAATCGAAATTGTTTGTGGGCTCTGCCCGAACCGTAATGGAGTCTGTTGATGATTTCAAATTTTTCTTTAAGCGTTGACTCAACGATTTATCCTGCACTATATGTGTTCGAGCAAAAGTATGAAGAACCAGGAGAAAGTTGAAGATTCTCTGCCAGATAAGGAAACTGAGAGCGAAGCTAACAAAACATCAAGCAAATATGAGTGTTGGGCTCAGGGGGATTTGACCCTGAGACCTGGCCCAAATGTGAAGCCAAAAAAAACAAGTTGTGTTTGTTTTTGTTTTCCAAGTTCGCAGCCAGTTAGATTTGAACCTGAGACCTCCAAGTAATTATACGGTTAGCTTATCTTGGACACATAGGACCATATAGGACCTAGAGAACCCTATAGGCCCAGGCGAAATTGGCATAGCAAAAAGTGACGAGTTAGGACTACATTCGTTTTCAATCAGTGCGGAGTGAGGAGGAGCAGCAGGGCCAATCTTGGCAGCTGAAGGAGAGGGTTTGGGTGCAGCCATAGCCAGTGTGTTCTAGCTCTACACTGCACGGTTTTGAGTGCCGTTTGTTACGTTCATTCATTTTCAGTCCATGCGGAGTGAAGAGGAGCAGCAGGGCCAATCTTGGCAGCTGAAGGAGACAGTTTGGGTGCAGCCATAGCCAGTGTGTTCTAGCTCTACACTGCACGGTTTTGAGTGCCGTTTGTTGCTTTCATTCATTTTCAGTCCATGTGGAGTGAAGAGGAGCAGCAGGGCCAATCTTGGCAGCTGAAGGAGTGGGTTTGGGTGCAGCCATAGCCAGTGTGTTCTAGCTCTATACGGTACGGTTTTGAGTGCCGTTTGTCGCAGACTGCTCGGTCCCGCCTGGCCCTCAAGTGAACATCAGCTTTTTAAAAATTTTCATCAGTGTGCTCCTGTGATTGTTCAGTGTGAGGTTGGTGTAAAGCTTTTTTCCAATTGCCATCTTCAAGATTGGTCTTCACTTCAGTTTGTTTCGATGCTGCTCCTATAGTAAGTTGAAGTTTTGCAAATTCCGAACACTGGTATCAGAGCAGGCAACGATCTGGACGTCGGCCAAGTGATTGGGTAGTCCAAGCTGCCGAGTCAGCATCAGCCATTGCCACGTCAGCAATTATCTTCCACCAGTGGGCATCTACCTATCTCATGTTGTACCTTGTTTAGCATGGCTTACCGCAAGGATAATAACCATGGAGAAAAAGAAGAGAACAGTGGAATTGAATTGAAGAAAAGTAGTTGGGAAAGAGGCAAAGGGCGTTCATGTTAACATGCTCACAAGTGAGAAAAAAAGCCCACGTTCATCAGAGGTTATCCACCCCTAGAAGGAAGAAGAGGGTCGCAAGGAAGAAACCAGCTATGGTGGTAAGTGCGAAGGAGAGCTTGCAGCGCTGGAGGCAAAGAGGTCACAATTAGAAGAGAGGGCGAGGAAGGAGGAAGAGGAAATGAAGAAGAAAGGCATAACATACTCCAAGCAGATTGCGGCAGAGCAAACCGCCAATGTGCTAGACAGCCCTCTCCACAATGCAATCTGCTCATGCGGATGAGCTGGTCACACCGAGATGACGTTCATCAGCAGCAAGTTGGATGCTATTGTGTCCAAGCTGCAAAGTCGAACGAGTCCAAGCACACATCCTTCTTCCCCCAAGAAGACTGCAAAAGCGGATATTGACAATGCGGAAATTGACGGGGAGCGTGTATCGAAATCCAAGCTGGAGGCGCCGCCAAAGTTTAGAGGCGGACGTGATGAGGATGTAGATCCCTGGTTGCGCACCATGAATGGGCAACTAGACTATTACGAGCTTACCCCTGGTTGCGCACCATGAATGGACAATGACAAAATCCATTTTGTGTGTATGCTGCAATGTTGGATGCAGTGAGAGAGTGGGTGGACAACGAAGTGTTGCATACAGGTGGAGATATTGCTGAGTACACCAAGCAAACTACATGGCTGGAATTGAGGGAGCAGTAGACGACGGTTACCCGTCAAGGCCGGGGAGTTATCCATATAAGCTCACCACAACAGCGTGCAGGATCTAATCCTGGAATTTGATCAGATCTTGTAGACATCGGAACTGAAGATCGGGGAAGGCCCTATTATGTATGTTTTTATGAGGGCTCTTCCCAAGAGGATTGCAAGCCACCTAGGTCCCCAATTCAAGGAGTTGAAGACTTACTGCAAGATGGTATATATGCTAATTGTACACAATTTCCCAAAGCTTGCTCCAGGTTCCCAAAGCTATGCACATTATTCATGACTGGGCTACCTGTATGGCAGAGAAGGCTTTAAAATTAGACTTCGCATTGCGGCTCGCTGAAGTGACAACGGCAACCAAGAGGCAAATCAAGGACAACGACGGGTTCACTCTTGTGCACAGGAGGACCCAACGTTATCAAAGCAAGATGTGCGCTACAGTTATTGAAGGGCTGGCATACCCCAGTGACAATAGCAGCGGGGAAAGTTAAGAGATGAGGAAGAAGAGCCCCCCAAAGGAGAGAATTGTTGCGCTGTAGGAACTAACAAAAGTTGTGATAGGAAAAGTTGTGATAGCAAGGGAGAATGAAACAGCAACGCGAGCGAGATGATGTCCCAACGGGAGGAAACAAAGCATGGGCATAGCTGTGGGATAGGATTGGAGTGACGAAGGAGGGATATGTGAAAAAAATGGAGAAAGACCTGTGCGAGATATGGGCGCAGGGGACACTCAAGTCGAGACTGCAGAGCAAGAAGACCAGTAGAAGAGTAAGTCCAGTAAATGGCACAGCCACATCTACACAGGTTAGGGAGGACCGGTGGAGTATTTGTCGAAGAAGATGCATTTGTAGAGAGTTGCAGCTAGTACCTATGATAGAGATTATGCTTTGTATTATGCCTTGAGAACATGGAGACATTACTTGCTAGGGCACCCCTTCAAGATTTATTTAGACCATGAGACTCTTCAATGGCTGATGATGAAGCCTAAGTTATAAGATAAGCGAGGTCTGCCTATATTGATACCTTCGACTTCAACATGAGGTACAAGAAGGGGAAATATAGATAAGTTGCAGATGCACTCTCAAGGAGGTGACTTAATGGGAGCCATATTGTCAAAGCGGAGAGTTAGCGATAACTTGATTGACAAAATTGCAGCTGATCTTGTGTATTCTCAGCGGCTTGCATATTTCGAGGCAAATCTGGGTTCAGCACCGGATTATACATTGTCGAGGTGTTTGCTGTTCGCTGAAAGCAAGGGTTTGCAAAGACTTTGTGTGCCACAAGAATTGAGGGTGAACGTGCTTGGCAAATGCCACGACACTCAAAGACATTTGGGCTTCAAGATCTTTATGAGATTAGCAGAGCGTTTCCATTGGCCTTTCATAAGGAATGATGCAGCGGAATATGTGAATACCTGCGCTGTTTGCCAGCGAGCATAAAGCCGAAGTAATGAACTGTGTGGGGTTCTGCAATGGTTGCCTATACCGAGAAGGCCCGAGCATTCAATCTCCATGGACTTCATGAGTGGGCTGCCAGTGTCAAAGGATAGAAACGACATGCTGTTTGTCATATTGACCAATTTTCCAAGTTTATTAGGTTAATACCTATGCAAAAATGACATTCTTCAGCAAAGGAAGTGGCCGAGTTATTCTGGGACCATTGGTGCTCAGAATTCGGGTTCCCAAAGGAGATCCGTGGCAACAGGGATTCTCGGTTTACTAGTGAAATGTGGGGCAATCTGATGGAGCTTGTTGGTATAGAATTCAAGATGAGTTCTGCCAATCAGACTGAACGCATGAACCACACCGTTCAGCAGGTGCTGCGTCACCTAATCAGGCCTGACCAAATTGACTGGGATCGAAAACTGGCTAAGGTGCCACCACGTTGACATCTAATGCTCTTCATTTTGAATGAAAGCCGCGTGCACCAGTTGATTTCTGGTTCCAGATCGGCAGCAGAAGTATCCTCCTGGAACAACAGAGTTCATCATGCAGTTCGCCGATGAACTGTGTCAGGCCATCAAGGACATGCAGAAGGTGCAGGAACATATGGTTGCTGAAGCCAATCGACACCACAGACCTTCGCCATTCGAAGAGGGAGATTTCGTCTGGGTCAGCATGGTTGAGTTTGCATAAGAGGAAGTAATATCCAGAAAACTTCTGCCGAAGTGGTGTGGGCCTTGGGAGATATTGAAGGTGATTGGGGACAACGGGATGGGGCCATCTTACCGGATTGATGTGCCACCCTACCTGAGAACGTGCCCTGTTTTCTATGCTTCCATATTGATGCCGGACACGCATCCAACCTCAAGTGTAGTGCATCCACCCACCATGGATGGAAGGGCAGATGTCGAGAAGATTGTTGATCACCGATATGTACGGAGACCAAGAGGGAGACTTACAGAGTGAAGTTCCAATATTACCCAGAAGAGGAAGAAGATGAGTGGGTCGACAGAAGTACTCTGATGGCGACGGCACCTCGAATTGTAGCAGATTATGAGAGAAGCCTCCAACAGTAAAGGAGAAGAAGAGGATGACTTCAGTCCGAGCTACTGTATATTTTGTATACTATATGTTTTTATTATTCATGGAATCCAATCTCAGTTTACAGACTCGTTAATAGGTTCTCAAGGGATTTCGAACTGAGGCGGCGGGAGTGTTGGGCTCATGGGATCTGAACCCGAGACCTGGCCCAAGTGTGAAGCAAAGAAAAACAAATTGTGTTTGTTTTTGTTTTTGAAGGTTGCAGCCAATCAGATTTGATCCTCGGACCTCCAAGTAAGCATACTGTTAGCTGATCTTGGACGCATAGGATCCTATAGGATCCAGACCTCTAAAGTTCTCTAGGCCAGAGCCCGGTAGGACCCTGTAGGCCCAGGCAAAATTGGCATAGCAAAAAATGAGGAGCTAGGACTACAGTTCATTCATTTTAGTCCGTGTTTTTGGTGGAGCGAAGAGAAGCAGCAGCAGTCCCAATCTTGGCAGCTGAAGGAGAGGGTTGGGGTGCAGCCATAGTCAGTGTGTTGTGGCTCTCTACTGGACGGTTTCGAGTGCCGTTTGTTGCAGACTGCTCAGTGCAACCTGGCCCTCAAGTCAACGCCACCTTTTTTTTTATTATCAAGTGGGCTGGTGTGATTGTTCAATGTGAGGTTGGTGTAAAGATTTTCTCCAATTGCCATCTTCAAGATTGGTCTTCAATTCAGTTTTGCTTGAATGCTGCGCATAGAAGTTGAAGTTTGTTAAATTTTCTAACAGATAGACATTGCTGATTACTGTCGGATCCTTCTCAACGCAGTGACTGGGCAATTGACACTTTTGGACATCAAGTCGCATGAAGTAGTTGACTCTGGGTTAATCCCCTGTTGGAGTCAAAGAAAGTGACAATATCTACTAGTACAGATTTAGGGTTCAGGGCTTACGGTTCACAGTTTAGAGTCTCATCCATTCGTGGATTCTAAACCGTCAACCGTAAACTGTAAACCGCCAAAAAATGAAAACCACCGAAAACCGTAAACCGTAAACCCTGAGCCCTGAACCCTAAAGGTCTGAAGAGCAATCTGAAGGTGGCAAACTATGGGGGCAATGGTATCGTGTATAAGTGCAGGAGAAAGAAACAATTGACGAATAACTGAACCAGGAAACGAACTGGTGAAAATGAGGACACATGAATAGTGGGGAGAAAAGGAGCTCCAGATAGTGTCGTTGCTATACTGTCCTTGTGTTTCACGCATGAGAAAAAAGCTGGGGAAAAGGGAGGAAGAGGAGAGCACTGCATGTCGCCGTTCTATCTACTAGCTATGGAGATCTGTCCTCATCTATGCTTGCACAAATGGCAACATGGAAGCCCCCTTTTTCTCTTGGATACTAGTTGTTAGTATATTAGTGAATATCACAATAGATGTGTACATTATATGCAACAAGTTAGGACAGTGTGATTATCGTTCTTGGCCAGGCTATCGGATTGAATTCTTTGTCTTATGAATGATGAACACACCATGTTTGATCAGGAAGAAGACACGTGTTAACCTTATTGCAAGACTTCATCTGGTCGACTTGTGAGAGACCCGAGGAACTGTGCTCATATTCATACTTATCATCTGATGACAGGGGAACGGTTATGTTCTGCTTGACAAAAATATGAATAGAGATCTCCCAGAAATATATGGAGAAGTCTCTGAAGGTTGTTGAAAAGTTTTAAGATGTCCCTTCAGAAGGATTCCATCACATGGTGCTGACAAAGATGCGCATGGAGGTGACTGATCTCCAAAAGGTCGTATCTTTTGCTAGGTCTCTCAAAGATTAGCAACAGATAGAGGAGACGGAGGCGGCAAATGGTGCAGCAGCTGTGTGTGGGGAGTAATGCATGTGTGCCTGGGAAGGGGTGATGGAGGAGTGCAACCATTTTAGATGAATTTGCACTTATGCCATGCTCTGGTTTGTGCTCTTCTGGTTGACAGATTGGAGAACTGCCACCGGAGGCGGGAGTTATACCTCGTGCGATTCAGCAGATATTTGACACCCTGGAAAGTGCAAGTGCGGAGTACAGCGTGAAGGTGACTTTTCTAGAGCTGTATAACGAAGAGATTACTGATCTGCTTGCGCCAGAGGAGGTTATCGTCATTAAGGGTCCTGGCTTGGAAGAACGGCAGAAGAAGCCCCTTGCTCTCATGGAGGATGGAAAGGGAGGAGTGCTTGTCAGGGGGCTGGAAGAGGAGATCGTGAAGAATGCCTCTGAAATTTACACATTGCTGGATAGAGGATCGGCAAAGAGGCGAACTGCGGAGACTTTACTTAATAAGCAGTCAAGGTGTGTTAAATGTGGTTTTCCTTTCATCTGCGTTGTGTACTCCTGCCCGTTACCGTCTTCACCCAAAATACGGCTCGGGCGTTACATTCAACTTCCCCTAAAACAGTTATTAACTCAACTTTATCTGAATATAACGCCGCTTCAAATATGACGCCCTGGTGTTATGTTTGAACAGAGATCCCGGGCGTTATGTTTGAACGTGGCATGGGTACGATGGCATGGAAGGGGCATGATGTTTAAAGGGGGTTGAAAAGAGTCGTAACCTCAACGGGTGTGCTTTGATTGTACTTTTTGTATTTGTTTTGTTTTTTAGTCTTCAAATAAATAAGGAATTCTGAAGTCACCCTGAGCCAAAAGTTGTTTGCATTGGAATTCTGCAGAACATATTTCTTTTTACATAATGTTTTGATTAAAAAGAAAATGGAGTATCACCGAAGTTGCTACAAGTTACTGAATATAAGGCCCGAGTGATATTTTCCCGTGAAGATGATAGTTCGTAGCTTACGTGCAATGCTTGCTGCGTGGATACGTTGCCTGGCGATAAATTGTTCTGCATAACCATACTCTTGTTATGCCCTCTCTGTCGTGTTGCCTCTGCCAGTGCCTTCATTTGATGCTGATCTCGAGAAAGAAGGAAGTAATTCAAATGCAAGTTTTTTTGCAGTATCATGTGATTCGATCTCGATTCGGGCTTATGCCCTGTTCATCAACAGTTACATGTGTGTACCATTGGGCTGCTAGAAGCGACCATTGTTTGCGTACATTCTGCTGGTAGAAACTAGCATTGATTGTGTGCATTAGGCTGGTAGAAGCTAGCGTTGATTGTGCACATTGGGCTGGTAGAAGCATTGATTACCCTTTTTTTCCGAGTAGACGTTTTGGTTTGGCAGAGTCTACATGCTGTACAATGTCTCTGCATCGATTATCAATGACCCTTGCCCACACCTGGATTATTGCCCTGAAAAAGAATCCTTGTTCTGAATGATTGCCGGTCTGATTGTTGTACACTGTGTTGTTTTGTGTTGCCTTGTCATTGYGAGATCAGTCGTTCGCATTCTGTGTTCTCCATTACTATTCACATCAAGGAATCAACACCGGAAGGGGAAGAGCTGATTAAATGTGGAAAGCTTAACCTTGTTGACCTTGCTGGATCAGAGAACATTTCACGCTCTGGAGCAAGAGACGTAAGTGGCATGTCATGTGAGCTCATTCCTTCCTCTCCTCCTTGCACCCCTCCAATTTACCCAGGTCATCTGGCAGACTTTTGTGGCAGAGGCAGTCCTGTGCTGGCCCGTAATCATTACCTGATGCGATTGCAAAGCTGGATGGATATATGATGGTTATGGCGGGGGTTCTCCTGTGTTTTCCCCTATTACACTCAGTTGGGCTGTGTTGCAGCACCATCAGCCAAGTGTTACGATTGGTGGAAATCAGGATTGCATGGACTTCCCCGAGCAACTTAGTTATCTTGCCGAAATGTTTGGACCCTGCATGTCCAGCTTGTGAAGCGGGATCACCACCTTTCGTGGGCGTCCTATGTTCAGCAAACAATCATTGTTCTTACATGCTGTCGTTCCACAACCAGAAAGAGGCGTAAATGCAACATCTGTGTTTGACTATCAGACCAATTAGTGGAGATTAGGATTGTTTTGTGTTTGCAATGCGTATCTCTTGACCACTGGTCTTCGTCGTCTTGAATTGGGATACGAAATTGGAATGACTCATTGCCAACCCCACTTTTCATGAATGCCAGGGAAGAGCACGCGAGGCGGGTGAGATTAACAAGAGCCTGCTAACACTAGGCCGTGTGATAACGGCATTGGTGGAGCATCTCGGACATATTCCTTACAGGTATGCCCCACTGTGAGCTGTGGCCAATCCAATCCGCTTCTGTTTTGTCTGTTGCTTCAAGTATGGTTATCAGCTGTCTGGACAGTGTTTGCTTGCTGGTTTGTTTCTTGCTGAAAAAGTGTGGAAGTTCTTACTGTTAGCTGGGCGATGCATGCATGGTGATCTCTGTGTCTACAGGGACAGCAAGCTCACAAGGTTGTTGCGGGACTCACTAGGCGGGAGAACGAAGACGTGCATCATTGCTACTGTTTCTCCTACAGTACAGTGCTTGGAAGAGACTTTGAGCACACTGGATTATGCTCATCGAGCGAAACATATAAAGAACAAGCCAGAGGTAAGTCAGAATTGATGGTGTCTTTTGATTTTGGTCGCTCGCACTTCCCATTGTTCGGATACGGTTGGGTTGTACTTGAATGTATACTGTACACTCATCCTGAGACATGGTAAATCCTCACATGATTTATTATATATGATTGATTTGTTGAGGTAGATGTGTGTGAAGTGTTCTGGCTGCACGAAGTGAAAAGCCATTACAAGTACTGTGGTGATGAGACAGCTTAGTACAGTGTGCTAGTGAAGAATATAATAGGGGTTAGAGAACTAGGCCTGGACTCCACTGGACTACTTGTGGGTCTAGGTTCCGACATCTAACGGCCCTTTTGTAGAGCTGAAAGCCGAGTCTTACCACATGTTATGGCCTGTTATATCTGTCTGCAAAGATTGAGACGTAGTGCTGTCGTGCCTAAATCTTAGACTAGTTTGCTGTTGGTGGTGGTTGTTGGATTGGTTATGTCCCGACTGTGGGCATTGAAAAGCCATTAGTAGTAAGTTCGGTGATGACAAGGGAACTTAGTTCTCATGTCCAAGTGCAGAATTTAATAGGCGGTAGAGAATTAGGGCTGGAGTCCACTGGACTATTTCTGGGTCTAGGTTCGGACATCGAACGGCCTTTTGCAGAGCTGAGTCTTACAAGATTGTGTGGCCCGCCAGATCTGTTGACAAAGGTCTAGACGTAGTCCTGTGGGGCCTAACTGTAAGACTACCGTCTTCACCTGAAACTTACACCCGGGCGTTTTATACAAATACAACGTCCGGTGGGTGTTATCTTTGTTTATAACGCCCGGGCGTTGTATTTAGTAAATTGGTGGCAACTTCGGTGGGGCCCCAAATTAGGGGGGGGAAATCAAAAAATTCTGTAAAGAAAGTATGTTGTCTAGAATTGCAATTCAACCAAATTTTGGCTGGGGTTCACTTCAGAATTCCTTATAAATTCGGAAATAAAAAAGAGAACAAAAATTCAAACCAAAACATACCCCTTGGAGGTCAAAGCCCCTTTCAGCCCCCTTTAAAACCCATGTACACCCGTCTTCCCCCCCTTTAAAACCCATGTACACTCTGTCTGCAAACCACTCTTTCCGTGGGACATTCAAATATAGTGCCCAGGCGTTGTATTCAAATGTAATGTCCGGGTGTTATATTCGAAGGGGCATTCTAGTCCCAAAAAAAAAGAGTAAAAACAAAAATCTGATTTTTTAAGGGTAAGTTGAATAAACGCCCAGGCGTTATTTTTGGGTGAAGACGGTAGTTTTGCGGTTGGCGGTGGTCGTGATGGTTATGCTTCTTCTACAATATTTTTGGTCTGGCTTTGGATTGACTTGATTAGTTGATCTTTTGCAGGTAAACCAGAAGATGACGAAGAGTGCTCTGATTAAAGACATGAACTCAGAGATTGACCGGCTTAAGTCAGGTAAGCGTGCTTGATCTGGATGGAAGGGCCAATAAGCAACTTGAATGAGTTGTCATGGAGTAGGCAACATTTTGTTCTAGTGCATATGTAAATCTGAATCTAGTGTCCAGATCATAATTTTAAATGGGCCTCAATGTCGGTGAAGGAAGGCTGGCAAAATGCACTGAACATATTGATTCGTTAATCAGCCCTTGTCCTGGTAGCTCATAATTGTAAATGGGGTTGTTGGGAGGTTATAGGTTCGGCTCAGAGAACGTCTCAAAGTCACCCTTCTCAGAATGTCCTTTGTGCTAGTTGGCCCTGCTAGTAGGGGAGTCTCCACGGTGCGGGTGGTTGTGCTCTGGCACGGTCAAGCTGAGTTAAAGATGGTCCAGCCCAGGCATTGATGATAATATCCTGCGTGGTCTAACTAATCCGCTATTCGTTTTACATGATGACAGAGTTGTATGCATGCCGTGAGCGGAATGGCGTTTACATACCAAAAGACCGTTACTTCCAGGAGGAGGCAGAGCGAAAGGTACGCATTGTATGCTCGCTAAATGAGTCTTTCGGAACTGTATCTTCTATTTATCGCCTCCCGAGTCCCAACCCTCTAAAGCCCATCGGCCGCAGGTCCCGTCTTTTTTGGGCTCTGTGCGTGCCGACAGGTTCACTTTGTCCAGGATTTTGCTGCGTTCGTTGCCTAAGATCTCGAGTTCACATCAGCTTCGTTGATTTCTCAATTCTGCGCCTGTCTGCACCTTCAGTTGTACCTGATTGTAGGTCTTCGGCCTCCGGGTTCTTTGTACACCTTTGGATAACAGGGCATGCAAACGGACAAATCAGTAGGCGGTGGGTTCTTGGCGTCCGTGGCACTTTCCGAGAGCTTTGCTCTTGCCACTTTCGGATAAGTGCTGCCGGACGTGTGGCTTGCGGGTTTTCACAGGCCATTGTTTATGGGTGCCAAGGTGTGAATTCGGGCCTCGACCGCAAGAGCATTTTGAACATAAGGGGATGATTTTCGGCTCCACATGCATTTAGGATGTTGTGCAGTGGAGCGGGCCCTTCTCCAGTCTGCGCCGCATGTTCAACCGGTCGGTCTATCCAACCGGTGTAGTGGACGCAGGACCGAATCGAGCA